GCTTGCCATGACAGGTCATTTGATATAGCAACACTTAAAAGTTTAATTTTGATGGCGGTTGGCAGGCTTTTTCCTTGAATCATGATGTCCTGTAGTGCTAATGTTTTTTGGGCTGTGAAAAAATGCATGACTTGCCACTTGCCAGGGTTCAATATCATCTTGTTTGCCGTTGCCCAATCACTTATCTTGTCAGTGTGCTCTTGCAACTGGCAGTGCCGATCTACTTGGTCAATTCGACACGCCTGGTATATGGTAAGGTCGTCTACATACTTCAGTCCGTTATCAATATCAGCAGCGGCACCGTTAACCATATCCCGGAAAGCAACCGGGCCAACTAAGGTGCCTTGTGGAGTGCCACATGTTATGGTTATCCAAAGACTCATGGTTCTATCTGGCATCTTGACCCGCTGCTGTCGGTCCTGCAAGAATAAGCATAGCCACTTTGCGTACCCGGAGTGAAGTCCCATTGCAAGCATGTTCTGGATAACATGTATGCTCAATGAGGTCAAATCCCTTCTTAGAATCGTACATAATCATAGCACATAATTTGTCTGCTTCGTCCAACTCCGTCAGTAAAGCATGCAACAGCCTAACTAAATAGTGTGACGTTGAGGCACGTTTCATATTTCCGTATTGGCGCTTATCTATGCTTGGTTTTATATCCGCCAGAATTTGCGGAACGATATTTTTTCCAAAACCTTGCTAAAAATCAATGTGAGGCTTAGCGATCGCAGATCTCCTGGCAACTTGGGCGATGTTTTCTTTGGCACAGGGGGGATTGTTGCTCTCTTCCACACCGATGGCACGCACCCTTCATGCAATGACCGGTTGAAAATATGGGTAAGTGGAACGGCCAGTTACACAGAAATTTCCTTTAGAAGCCGCACTGGAAGTTGTCCAGTGGGCACAGCCATATTTCCTCTCAACTGCGATAGCTGAGAGGCAACTTGCCACGGCTTTATCTCAGCAGAAATATTATCGGCATGCACATAGCAGGGAAGCTCTTCTGTGCGCAGTGGTCTATACGTTGTGCACAATTCTGTAAAAAAAAAACAATTTGCTTATTCCGATTTTGATTTTTCGTCATTGGCTTCTGCAAGATCAAGACTCCATGGTTTTGGTTTTCGGTTGGTTAAGCTGGCTTCTTGTCTGTACTAACACCCTCTTCGTTCAGAAGCAATTCTTTGGATTCGTTTCCTGTGCCGTACCGTTTTTGCCGCTGTAGTTTCTAGGCCTACTTTGGCTGTAAGTTTTTGTAGTCTGTCCATTTGATGACGACCGTGCGCCCTGGCACAGAACGAATAGGATCACGGAATAGCAGTTCGAACAACATAGCAAGTAGGACCACAGAATAGCAGTTCGAACAACATAGCAAGTAGGATCACAGAATAGCAGTTCTAACAACATAGCAAATAGGATCACAGAATAGCAGTTCTGACATTAGAGTAAATAGGACCACGAAAGGACAGTCCCAAAAATTGAGAAAATAGAGTCATTGAATGGCAGTCCTAACAGTCCATATCCTAACGACTCCACTTAATGTCGGCGGCTTGTCACATGCCATTCCCCATTTTAACCTTCGCCTTGCTGCATGCTGACTTTGCATCCTGATAAGATATCGCTGGAATCTCATCCAACGTCCATCATATGATCGATGAAAGCCTTTGGTAACTGAGTCACTCCATATTGTCTGCATGTGCTTGTCTGATGACACCATTCGCTCTCGCTTTAGATCCGTTAAAACACGGCATGATTTAACCTCATTACGCAAGAGAATTCCGAGACGGCAATAAATTCATCTGCTGGCGAGAGTGGCACAGTTAACAACGAACTAGTTTCGGTATGCTTCACCATTCCGTAAAAGTGCACAGTTTTCGCTCCCAATGGCTGGCCAAGGGCTTTGAGCCCTGATTCCTTTTCAGTCGGATGGTCCAATCCTTGGCCTAATTATGCAGAAGTGTGACCTGCCACACTGCACCAATTAAGCTGCACCTGGACTGCCGGCGGGCTCGGAGGCTGCTCAACACTGGGTATAAACCAGCGACGGACGGGTCCGTGTTGTAATTGCGGTGGATATGTGGTCAGCCCGTTGCCAGCGGGACTTTGAGCTGCAGTGAACCGGAGCGAATGACTTCTCAAGACGTGCCAATCACGTTTGGCAGTTGTCGCAGGCGCTAGGTTATCAGGGACAAAGACAACGAGCGCGCGTCTCGGGGTGTGGTCACGCAGTGCTCCTCGTGCTTTGGAAGTGCCGCTGTCAGGAATGACTTTGACCATGTGAGATCATTGCCTAGTCTTGATCCGGGGTGCGATGGTAACGATCTTCTGTGTATGATCAAAGCGCGGATGTTGGCCCATTGGTCGACCCACCATAAAATCGGCTTAACAGAATAAGCAATTTATCCACATGCTGAATATTGGGGCGTTTTTCACAGTTTGTTTATCCTCAGATCCCTGCATATCGTTAGCGTGCAAACGGATTTTAATTCACAAAAACCTTCCCTCTTGCCAAACATGATGTTGATTCACTCTCAAATTATCTAATTTATCAAAAATCACGTTGAAGACAGTCACTGTTCTTTTAATCTAGTTTATGGTATAAATAAGGCACACAATATATGTGCACGCAGCAACTGTGCGTGTGCAGGGACGAAGCCAAGATCAAATGGCAAAGGATACGCTGGCCGCGTATGTCAGTAAGCTTTAAACACAACACCCTGCCTGAGGTGTTTCACGAAAAGCATCCTTGCAATAGCCTCCATTCCATCCGATATCAGCTGGTATCACCGCCCATATGCATAGGATCATCTCGTAGGACAATATTGATGGGATTCCATGTACATCAGTTAAATACTGGCAATGTGTTTGTCACTTGCATGCTATGTGCATAGGACTAGCCGTGCAGAAACACTTTTATTTGGAGAAAACTTCCAAAAGGCAGTTTCTATTCGCAAAACTATAATTAAACCTGATCTGAGAATTGAGGTCTCCATGACAGTTAGGTTATTCGGAATACAATTCGACGGTTAAAATATGTGGTTCCTGCTGCCAAAATACAGCAATTTCTCATTCCTATATATTGTCAGTAGTAACCCCAAGGAATATAATGACATTAGAAAAGGTAGGCTTATGCTGTTGTCGGAGAACTGCAAGCGTGAACATTGAAATTGGAGTGGTTCAGAATATTTAGGTTGGCTGCAGAGCATGTCTCTCCAGCTAAGATGCCGCTCTGTGAGCGTCACGCACCCTCGAGATCTTGATGAGCTCGTAATCGTGTGCTTCAACTAACGCGCTGCACGCACTGGCAGTCTTCGGATGATTGAGCTTTCTCTCCCTATCAACCAGAATTTGCAGCTGTCTTTAGCTGACTTACAGAGCCCGCTGAGAATCAATAACGATAGGCAAGCACGCCCACAGTTTGGAGTTGAGGTGACTTGCCCGACTCGGGATTGACATTTTCGGAGAATGGAGCTGACGTGCCAGAAAGAAACTGAACTTTTTGCACCATAACCTTCTTGAAAGCCCAAGTCTGGGTACCTCTTGCGACTGGGTAATACACTTCAGTGTATTAACAGTGTGATCAAATATTCATCAGTATAAAACTTTGAATTTCTCAGCTGTTGAAATTACTGGAAAGGCTCGTTGTACAAGCCAAAGACTATTTTTGAAATGCAATACGACGACTGTCCTGTCAGGCTTTTGTAGCTGCTCAGGACCGACGCGATATTGTTACCTCATACCGCAACAAATTTCTCAAATTTTATACAAAGTTTGCTTACCAATAAGACCTGTAGGTATAAACTAATCTGCATATTGCCACAAAAAACACGGCTCTGCAATATTTTTAAATCCAATAAGCCCGCAATGTTTAGCCGGCTGAAGAGTGACGAGTGTTTTCCCAAAAATGGTATGATCTGTGCTGTCGATGCATGGTTTATGACAATCAAGGGTGTCTCGTAATGTTTAAAAAGTGTTCAATATTCTGACACTCCAACTCCATTTTCATGCTGACTACACGTTTAGAGCTGTGTAGACATCTTAGCGTTATTTAACTTTAAGACTTTTCGTTTCCAAGCGCATGCAGCCATTTGTAAGCCGTTTGGCAGTCATGGGTCTCTCAGACGCATTGCCCACCAGCGCTGTCCCACGCATTCAGGGCATCGATCAAATATGATTCGGTTATTGTTTCCACGTGCTTTGCCGCAGAAAGATCCGCCGCCATTGGCGTCATTACAGCACCGCCTCCAGCCACACGACAGTTGTGCACATCTCAGCGTTGCACGTTGTGATTTAGTTTTTCCTTCTTCTTACATCGCAGCGCCTATAACTATGTTTTCGACGGCTCGGCCTTTGCACAACTCGTTTCTAACAAATATACGAAAGTCATAGATATCTTATTACACGCTTGTTTGGTTTACTTCTAGAGTGGTTTTAGATGAAAACTGTGTCCGAGCTAAACGCCCACGCATATCCCTCAAGCGCGATGTGACCGGTGCCCGTGTCGGACGGATGTGAATTAATATTGTTGACCATCACGAAGGTCGAGCCCATTGCATGTGCCAATCTCACGGCGATCCGTGCAGCCGTGTGCGCTGTGCATCTAGCTAAAGACATGCGTGCAGTCAGACAATGGACAGACAACAGACGTACGGTCGGAAATAAGTGAGTGCGAAGAGTGCAAACGGTTACCGCTTTCTTCGCCCCGCCAGGAAGCGACGCTGTTGGCACCGGCAGAGCCGCCATTAACGGCGTAACGGTGGCCCATGTCTCAGCAATATGAAGTGGATCTCAGTTAATACTTGTTGGCTGTTTTATACCCACGGCTCGCTCGGACACACTGCTCGTTCAAAGCTGCTCAACTTACGCAGGACATCGAACACACAGCATTTATCTGTGGTTCCCGCTTGATTCGCTGCACGAAGATGCAACATTATTGAGGTTTGTATAGCACTGCCTCCAGCCACACAGCATTGGCTCACATCCCAATGATGCGCATGGTGCCTTTATTATTTCTTTTCGGATGTCGTGGCTCTTCATGACGGTTAAACCCGTCGTATAAGCAAATTCCGCTGCAGTCCACGCCACCGTCTTGCTGTGCGTCCGGCTGAAAGACATGTGTGCATTAATACAGACAGCCAGCCAACCAGGCAGACAGACAGGCAAACAGGAGGGCAGACAGACAAACAGATGTTTTTCATTCAGTGTATCAGACGACATATACGCGCCGCCCATGGTGAATGTGCCATTGACCGTTTTTTCACCATACTGGACCGGTGTTTGAGTGGGGTCACTTATAATACTTTTTTGCGTCAGGGCTTCGTTTGGGTGATACACGATGGATATATGCAGGCTGTCGGGCCGGATGTAGTAGCAACTGGGCAAGTTTCTTGGTGAGCTAAGTGAACTTGCTTATGAAAATCATATAACCTGTGAAATAGAAGGTGTGAGAACCTACCAGCAATGAAATGCATGCCAACAATTAAAACATAATACCCACCAACAGCAAAATTGTTAACGCAGAGGTCACGCCAGACAATTGGAATAGGAAGAGCTGCCAGGGGCATTCATTTTAAGTAAATCATCCGAGCAACACGATTATAGTTTTCCCCTCTTCGGTTGGTCTGCATCATGTGTACCAATGGTAACAATATTTCAGAGACGTTGGTATGACTAGAAGCGGCGTCATGCAACAAGACAGGTGGACAAATATTGCGATGCCAAGTTCTCACAGCTATTCACGTGCATGTGTTGTACTGAGCCGTTGATCAATCCAAAGTCTTGCTGCATGCATCTAGCAAAGCGTAGTGGCAAAGAGTGGAGTCGTCAAAAGTGGCAACATGTATTTTGCTTCGCTACCCACATGGAATGCACTGCAATGAAGGGCACTGGTGCAAAAGCATGGACGGCGATTACATTGACACCAATAATTTATCATTCATAAATCATCCAGTAACAACCATTAACAAACATGACCTTACAAACATTGTGAACTCAAAAACAAACATAAATGTCAATAGCAGTAAAACAAAGAACCTATTACATTGTGCTTTTAACACTTCCCTAGTATGTCTGTGTCCTTAGATGCCATTTTCAAGCGACATGTCTTTTTTAAACCTCTTTTCTGACATCCAGTATTTTTTAACACTTCTTGGCAAAGTAGGCATACCGTATTGCGAAGTCTCAGCTCGAGTTGTAATCTAACCACGAACGATGTTATTGGGTAACAGTTGGCGGTAATATGGTAGACATAGCGAGAGGGAATATTTTAGGCTTATTCTTTCCTTGCAGTATCATATGCACAGCGTCCTATCTCAAGGCTATTGGGATGCGTGCTCCCCCGTTCCCCAGCCACCGCCTCCCCCTACGTGTGGTTCTGTGTGATGAGGTGGATGTTGCCTTCGCTTTTGGCACAGAATCAACTATTCCCGACACACAAGGCACTGCCACGTTGTTTTTAGCCCGCGTCCTCCTTCTGAGTGCACCATTAAAACATCCTAACACATATCACCTCAAAAGACACTGTGCACCCTGATGGGATTTTTGAACATCCGACCAGCAAATAGTATATCAAGGATTAAAAGGACGCCATCTTAGAACCGAGGTTAAATTCACAAATTGCGAGTGAGACTATAATTCTTCCTAGACCAACATCACCCCGTAGAGGTCTGAAAGAGCTTCACTTCAAATATCTTTGTTAAGAGGAATTCATTCATGGGTTTCTTAGCGGCATGGGTTTTACAGTGAGAAACAATTTTACTCGTTGTTTTTTCTATCTCTTCGTCGGGCTTGTTTCATGTATATCAAGCCGGCTATGGCCATAAGAAGAAGAGTGTTCCAGCGTTATCATTATTCATCCCAAATGAAAAGGAAAGGGTTGTGTTCCACCAATGACAACCTTGAACCACGGCCCTTGCAACTCCATGAGATCTTAAACACAAATACCTGCCAACACGTCATCTCGGTTCGTAATGTGGCAGCAGTTCTACCCGTGGTCGGTGAACTAAGGGGAGATCCCCCACAAGCGCAGGCGTTATTTCCGAGCGCCTCGCAGCGTCGCCTCTCCCAGGAACCCCTCGCCACCGCCGTGCGAGCGCCGAACCAACCCTCGGTGTTATAACACCGACCGCCGGCCGTTGGCGTCCGTCGGCGCTCGCCGCTCGGGCGTCCACTCGCGGTCGGCGTCCGCCCCGGCGGCAGAGGAAGCGTCCCCTCCGAAGGACCCTCCCCAGCCAGAAATTCCCCGGGCCGGGCCGCCCCCACCGCCCCGGGCCACCGCCTAATTCGTCCGGGCAGACGATGTCCGGGTCCCGGCCTGGCGGCCACTTTGATGGCCTCTAATAGCGGGACTAAGCCGCCGTAACCGTCCCGAGGGGGCGGGGGGCGAGATGTGGAGCACTTACCGGTGTCTGGTGGCGTGCATCGGTGCTCATTTGGCGGCGCTGCCAGGGTCGCGCTGGAAGAGGAGCGAAATCGGCATGGTGCGGTTTTTCAGTCGGCGCCGCAGGCGCTCCAGGGCCGCCGAGGTGTCGGGGACCTTGACAGACACACATGCACCCCATTTGAGGAACGGCCTGCTGCCTGAAATGGCGCTATACGGCTGGGAAGGTGGTCTTTATAGGATGCGCAGTGTATTAGGACAACGCATCCGTGTGATGAGAACATGCATGAAGGTCATGTTTCAGGCTGATGTTTAACAAACGGGGGGAGCCTTGCATGCTGTGATCCAAATAATTACGGTTCGGACCGTCAGCCCGCCTCGAAGAGGTACAAGAGTTTTGGCTAAAGGAATGCTTTATTCAGCCTCGTCTCGTCTCATCTAGGCCGAACAGGTAGCTGCAAATACGTCGAAGGCTCTTGATGCGTCGATCGTTTTAGTGATGAATGACATTCAGGCATAACTTAGAGCTCAGGCCGCGTTTCAGTCAGAAAACGCGGTCTGTCACATCGAATGTGTCTCGTGTCACACATGGCATCTCTCTCTCTCTCTCTCTCTCTCTCTCTCTCTCTCTCTCTCTCTCTCTCTCTCTCTCTCTCTCTCTCTCTCTCTCTCTCTCTCTCTCTCTCTCTCTCTCTCTCTCTCTCTCTCTCTCTCTCTCTCTCTCTCTCTCTCTCTCTCTCTCTCTCTCTCTCTCTCTCTCTCTCTCTCTCTCTCTCTCTCTCCCTCTCTCTCTCTCTCTCTCTCTCTCTCTTCCCTCTCACTCTCTCCCTCTCTCTCTTGCACCTCACCTTCTATCTCCCTTCGCCCTGTCGATCATCACGTTTGTTTCCCTTCGTGCACAACGTCCCTTTATTTGAGCATTTCACAATAATGCACCGGGCTCCAGATCGTACCTGGACACTTTGAACACCAGTCTCCAGCGACGCCATTTTCGGGCCGCGTCTGCCGCTGCCCGTCACGTCCCGCCCCTCCCCCCGGGGACGTCCACGGCGGATGCTGGGCGTCACGCGCGACCCTGGAGGCTCGTCCTCACTCGGGGATGCGCTGTGATGAGCGCGCCGACGCCAGGCCCGCGAGCGACGATACCATCTGCAATTGACCCATTTCGTATGCGCCCGACCACGGTCAGCCGTGGCAGTTCGCATGGACGGCGCGTCAATTTGAGCCTCGTTTAACGAGCACGTGAGGTGAGGCGGCAGCGCTGCTGCTCTTCCTATGCGCCGAGGGCGAGTGGGGCAGGGTGCGTTCCGTCTGAGATCGAGCGTCACACGCACGCGGCGCTGTCAGGCCGTCACGCTGGCGACAGCTGACGCCAGCGTCCTCCGGACCACAGCCGCTTTGGTCGCGCCCGTTACGGTCGCAGCTGCTAACTACCCGTAACTACATCCACATCATTTAAACACTGCATTATCCTCATCGCTGATATCCTCACAAACGTGCACGTCTGATGCCCATGAATGTCTTGAATTGTGCAGTGAATTGCAGCCATGACTTTAGTGGTGCATTGTCATGCTCAGCTGCGGTCTCTCGTCTGAAATTGCCTCGGGAACGATTTGAGAATCTGTGCTTGTTGTGTTTTTATGAGACAAATGCTATCAAGTGGTGCAGCTGCAACGCAAATCCGCACAAGAATGCCATAACGCGGAATAATCATGGGAAGAGTTATCAAGTGAAAAACCAGCAACCGAATGGATAAGCGGATTACAACACGGGAGGAAGTTGTTTGTCGTTATATTTATCACGGATGTTGCTAGTTGACAATAGACCTTTACCAATGTGCCCTGCTGTAGACAAAGGGGATTTCATTTGCTTCATTCACTCATCTCGCCCAGCGCATTTGATCATAGGATGCAATTTTTTATTATCGTGAAATGATTAATAACAAACTTTTTTTGAAATAGTAATTCATAAACCTGAAGAAATCAACAATAACAAACTTTAAATTTACTCCATGAAAGGCTATTAGAGTGAGCAGTTCACTGACAATAGATGCAACGGATCTATGAATACAAGGTACCTGCAAGCGTGCTGCATAAATCTTCTGTATGCCTTCACACATGTCAGCTGAGCGTTTTCCGTTTCACAGATGTGGCGCACGTGTTTGAATTTAGTACTTCTGGGTGATGTCTGATAATACACAAGTCTTTGAAGGATGTGTGTGGTCTCTGTTGTAGGCAGTTGTGACACAGAACCTTTAAACATATACGGTAAAGAAACCGATTGAAGGAACTAATGACCTTTCAATTTTAACAAACACGCACGTGATGTGGCTCGAGCAGTTTCGAAACAGGTTCGGTTTCGATGATGTGGAATCAAGCGGTATTAAGCAAACTCGGTGTGGCATTTTTGGACGTGAAATTGTGTCGAGTGTCGCACATGAACTACTGGGTATCCGGTTTGGAATCTAGCGTTCAGTGGTGGTGGAGTTCATGCATCTTGTGCTGCAACTGTCCCCAGATTCAACCTCCTACGCATCGCCTGATTTGGCGTCCAAGGCAATCAGATTTCTTGGTGCAGACAAGATGACGTAAACGAATGCTGGACTGTGTAAGGCAGCATTCGCCTTGTTCCTCGTAGAAAAAATAGGAGAATGGACAAACAGATGCGCTGATATTTCGGCAACATGCCTTTATCGAAGCGAAAATCAGAATCAGTATCGCTGGACTGAATTTCATTGACATTTGACGTTTGACATCGGCATGGTCTTTCCATTAGAGCACTTGGTTTAGTTAAAGGGAGTGCTCTTCATTTGTATGGGGCTTTGAAGTAAACTAGCCATCTTGAAGACCGGGGAGTCATGTTGCTGCCGTTGACATTTCACTGAATTTTCACTGTCATTTATTTATCGAAACAATTTCGCTGGGCTGTTATTAGATCCGAAAATTTTGCGCCCTGCGGGCTAAAGAATGGTTCCCGGGATTCACATAATTACTCGTTCTCGAAAATGCCGTTTTATGTCTAATTTCAACTGATTTTTCAAGCTTTTACCTTCTAGCAAAACCCCCCCGTGGTTGACCTCTGTCCCACCGACCTGTCTCGCCTTTGAACTAATATCGCCGAACCAATGGGCATTGCGTTTCAGCGGTATCCCATGCAAACCCTAACACTTCGCAGCGAACGAACGATGTGTGGTCCCCTTCACTAGTATCCATTAACGGCTCGTTCATTTCGTTCAAGTGTTCTTTCTGTCCTGACTTGGCAGCAGCCAGGCACCCACCAAGTTCCACGAAGGCGGATACCATGCAGGACGCGTGCTTGGTCTGAGACCAAACCAGGCCAGACGTGACCAGACCCTATTTCCTCTCGTTTTGATCCACCCGGTTTGTAGGGGTGACCCAGCAAAGTGTTGCGGGCAATTGGTCCCCTCATGTTTCCAACAGGCGTCGCCATGTGCATCTCATCAGATTGTGGGGATCGCCGGCACAAATATGCTTTACTGCCTGTACTGATCTCACCACGGTGTTAAGCAAGGAGTGCTTTCGTCAGTCTACCCTTAAATAAACCAAGTGCGCTAATGGAAAGTTTGGCGGATTATATGTTGTGTACTCAAAAACTTGCTGCTTAAAAATTGGCTGCTTGAATCCGCGGGTCGTTCCAATGCTTGTCATATTTGGTAGAGATTAGGTCCAGCAGTTTTTAGCCGGCCCCGAAAACGCCATCCAAAAGCTACTTGAGCCACATGGGAGCATGACATCAGTGTAAAAATTAAGTGCACGCTCATTAGTTTGCTGAGCGCATCCAGATTCCTTGCACCAATCAATGAATCGACTGGAATCGGGAGTAAATCAAATCGAGTGCAAGCAGACTTCGTCAGATGATTTTGCCTCGGTGGCCTTCTGGCACCTCTGTGTCGTACAGTGACGCAATGCCTGACATTCACACTTTCTAAAGACTTGACTGCTATTCAGTGCATGTCAATTCCAAAAAGTCATGTTAAAATATATTTCAGAGTCTGCAAAGCGTCTAAATAGCTCCGGGGCACTACATTTTTATATTTTTACCACCGTGCGTTTCGCCACCAGACATCAGGCGTCATCATGTTAAGCCGTTCACCATTGGTTCAGAAAGAGCTGGCTTGGTGTGAGTGCTGGTTGAAAACTAAATTATCCTGCACTGCTTTTCCTAAATGTATGAGATTGTGTAACCGAAATTGACTGCTTTGCGTCGATTTCCTTCCATCTCGGTTTTGAGCTGGCAAATCGGTTAGCAGGATCGGAGTGTGCTTCGGTACCTACGAGGGAATATGCTTTCGTCTCTTGGGCAAACAATATTTTGGTAGATCCCCTTGCGTGTTGTGGACCTATGTGACGTTGTTTCAATAATCCTTTCGTGGTAGATCTCAAGGTGATCTCAAGCTCTAACAGCACTTTCATGTTAACTGTTGTGGTTTTAGGCTGGTATATGAGTGAATATAAAAATAATAGTTGGGGTTACATCGATGTTGTGAACCTTGAACTTCGCAACAACTCAGATAAATGCTTCATTTGGCAATTAAAAACGCTCGGAAGCCATTGTGGATAATTTTCGTCCTGCCCGCTAGTGCCGGTCGACTGCGCCGCCATGTAGTGCGATTCGCACATTCAGTCGTGTATTTTGTAGGGAAGTACAAGCTCACGCAACTGGGCATCGAAATGACATTTCAATCCAGTTTTAGTCATGCAAAGCCATCGTGTTGGCTGCTGAATTCCTAAAATTGTTGAGACAGAATCCAACTCTTACCAAGTTCTAGTGGTCCGCTGTTGTTCTCTCTTCCCCGCCCCGGTCCTCAGACACTTGCATTTTCATCCTAGCGCTGTTTTTCTCTCTTCCCCGCCCCGGTCCTCAGGCACTTATATTTTCACCCTGATTCTCCCAGCTACCGTCCAGCTCCGTTGACCGTCACACTGCGGGGCCGTCGAACGACCTCCCGCGTCGCCGCCCGCCATTCCAGCAATGCGCTCCTAATGACCGATCCGCCAGCCAGGGAGCTGGCGAGTGCCACGACAATGTCACGACACCATTTTCGAGATAGCTCTGGGTGCTGCTCGGGCACTGCTCGGCGGCGAACGCAGCGGGAATTCCGAAGTGTTCGTTTGAAGTCGCTTCAGTTCAGACGAGCAGATTGTGTGATCACTTAGCTGCCCGGCGGCGGCGTTTCGGTAAACAGCATGGCGAGCCCGCGTGGCTGTCACTTTGCTGCGCACATTACTCTGGCAGTCTGAGAGGGCATTCACCCACGCCGCCAGAAATGTAAAAATAACTTCTATAACACGAATGCTACTCGAGGGACGCGCTGCGAGCGATGACTAGGCTCTGTATTTGAGAATCCCGGGGTCGATTTCCCCCTGCTGACATCCAGCGGGCTGCCTCAGTCACAACCGGGCGATGTCTCCACCATTCAACCTCACTTGGCCGATGAAAACGATTACTGGTGTAACTGCAACATTCCACAAATCCAGTGAGCATGTAAGCCCAATGAGCGAATTAACTGCCCAGCCATCCAAGGCGTTTCGCAAGCCGTTACCTACGTGGATCTGAACCGCCGGACGAAAGAACCTTAAGACATTAGTTACGGTCTCATGCGCTATACAGCCACTTGACACGTCTCGCCCTGCCCTTGCCGGCACTCACTCACGGCCGACGACTGCCAAAACGGCCGACACTCGAGCAAACCAGTCACGCAAGCTAATAACGCTCGCCAGGTCGAAAAAAACGCGTTTCGACCGACGCTCGGGCGGCCCGGTCGCGACGGCGGTGCCCTTGAAGCGGGCGGCCAGCGTCGCTCGCCGGCGAACTGGGTCACCGGCTCCGTATCACGTAGCCCAAGATGCATTCGACGATAGGGCATCGGCGGCCGACGGCGGCGGCGAGCCGGCGGGAAGGTCGGCCGCCTGAGCCAGCCAGGTCGCCGGGACGGTTTGCACAACTGGCGGCCCCTCGACCGACGAATCCCGGGCCAGGTGCTGGCAGGGGACTGGACGGGAGACCGGATCGCTCCCGTGACCACGCCGGCGGCGGCCATAAACAGGGCGGGCGGCGGCCGGCCGCCACAGAACGGGGTCGCCGGGCGAAGAGGAGTGGTGCATGACGTTAATCTGGCCCTGCACCAGGGGGGGGGGGGGGGGCGGGGCGTGGGCCGTGCCCATCAGGAGGGTCCGGGGCAGAGATGTTGTTACAATTGACGGGCAGGCGCAGACATCCTTGGCATGAGGGGATGAGATGGCGTTAGAACGGAGTGCTGTTCTTTCGTGACGATCGTGACAATGCATTCCAGCAAAGGCAGCTTTGCCAAGAGAGAGAGTTTCGATGCTGTTGATTGTTTGATAAACATGTATAAGGTTTATGGCCAGCCATGTATGTTGTGCAACAAGTACAGAGTCGAGTACCAGCCACGCCAAGTGTGCCCCGATGTGGGCTCGTGTCCCTCACACTGCGCGCTACAGTTTGTTCTCGAGGGCCATCTGACAACTGGCCGTGAGAGAACTGGCGGCGCGAGGGACACGTACCCCCGCCCCCCCCCTGGCGGGTAAAGATAATAGGGTGTGCTGTTGACATCAACATTGAAGAACGCTTCAACACGTAGCTTTGAAGCATGCATGCCTTTTTTCCACAGCATGTAGTAGGTGCAAGCTGTAAGTCCCTATCAGTTAAAGGGAATGTGTCACGTTTGAAGATTTGAAACAAACCTCATATAATGGAGCAAGCTCACTTATAGCTATTGGTGTAATCTTTAAATGGAAAATACTGCTTCAGACAACACAATTCCCTTTTAAGTAAACAAGTTGCTCAATGTGTCAGGGTTTGATTGCGTCATCGTATTCTGCATAATATTGACTGGGAGCCAATTGACGGCCGTTATATCCAGAAATCACTCTCACGAACGCCAGATATGAACGCCTCACAATAAAAGTTGTTTGGCCTTGATCACCGCGTGGCTTATGGAATGGCAGGATTTGAATGACGTTATTATGTCGCCATACATGCCAAAGTGACTTTGAAATACTCTTTTTCCGATATAATTTTCCCCATTTTCTCGGGCGTGGAGTTCAGAAGCTAACGGGGCTTAGGCCTTCAAAGGAGTATAATTATGAACGGCGCCGAAAGGTCCTCAAGATGGCTATTTTACCTTAAAACCCCACATGAATGTGGAACACTTCCCTTAATGTCTTGCACTGAGAGCTCCAAATTGTCGTGCGCCAAAAGTTAATTCCTACAAAAATACCCAGGGGCCTACAGCCACAGTTACATAACGGCATGTGCTCTCTGACGCGTGATTGCTATAGCGTGAATGCTTTCAAAATCAAGTGATGCAATAGTTACCTCCGTTTTGCACGCTTCGCCGTGACATTTATTGGCACGAATCATGCCTCTCAATATTTTGAACTGGCGCAAACGTTCGGGTATACCGCCATGCTGTCGAAGACGTGATCGCTCTGATGATCACAAAAGGTTGCGCTGCTGATGAATCCAGTCTCGTCTGAGGCGGAAGCGACTCACTGAGGAAGGCCAGCAGAGGCGACAACAGTTCGCAGGGAAATGCCGCTCAAATGTGAAAGTGTAGCTAATCTTTCAGCCTTCTAAATGATGACGATCCTTGCGCAATGCCAGGAGATTTTATTGCCGCAAAGATATGTACCTGTTCAATTGTTCTAGATGAACAGCGCAACTCCGAGAAAATTACGTTTAGCGTCATTAATACAGGCACGCAAACCAGACACCTGCAAGTTGGAATTTGCTAGAGGGTATAAGAAAGACCTTGGTATGCAAACGTAGCCAGGAACGCATTCAGATCTTGCGACCGGGCTAATGTTTTGCGAGCAAATCCCAGCCTCATTAACAGTACCTGAGCGCTGCGAACAGACTAACAGACCCCAAAAAGGCTGATAGGTGTATTACCTAGCGTGTCAATGAGCTATCGATGTTGATTTGCTCTGGTGGCTCACACAATTATTTCAGTTGCATACCATAGATAATCATTCGGCCTTCCGCTGGTTTCATGACTAGTTACAGCTAGTTGTATTAGTTGTAGCTAGTGTTAGTTTCGTTACCAAGTTACGGCTGTCATGTTAAGCGTGTTGCTGCCTACAATAGTGTCTATAATATTCGAAGCCAAAATAATTATTGTGAACACCTGATTCTGGTATGACACTCAGTGGTGCCGTGATGAGAAACTGCGCTCGAACCTTGCGGGAGGGTGGTGGGGTGGGGTGGGGGATGGGGGGCTTAAGCCTCATGAAAGCCCCACGTGATGAATTAAAGCTCCCACTTTTGGCCACGCTACTGCACGTGGCCAAAGCGGGAGGGGGAGTGGTCACGAGAGCTATCTCTCCCCCCGGGCCAAGATGTTTTATACCAGAGATTAGGCGATTTCGCAATAATTCGGCGCCAGTTCACAGGACTTCGGAAACAATTTCACGTCCTCTGCCTCCGCTCCCTGAGGTAAAGTTGGGTACGTACTTTCATTGATGACTAGTATTTGAACATCCATTGCCTGCTAGAATATATCTTGCTCGGTAAGCTTCTCCACACAAACAACAGTGCACCCGATCCCTGATGAGGTCATGTCGCCGGGATCTATGTGGACTATATCTAAACTTTGACATGACTCTGTTACTGAAGCATTAATGACTTGACTCACCTTAGCTGGTGGAGCATTGATGACGCATGCGATCCAGTTGCAACATAATGTCATGCTGATGAAGAGCACGTCTGGCTTCTTTTACATGTCGTGTGCAGAGTATCGGGGCAACGGGCGGCGTCCTCCTTCGGGACGTTTCGAAACCTGGCTGCAGTCCAAGCACAGATCAGATAAGGGAGCCCACGCGAGGACGCAATATGGGCACTCTACAATTCAAAAACAAAGATCATTTGGTGCCCATCACGAGGGCCTTTGGTCATACCTTTTTGTTGCTCAAAGAGACATGCACATCCGCACGTCCACCACACCACACATCCACGCTGTAAATGGCGGAGGCCTGTTTTTTATCCCCATTTGCGGCGCCCTGGCCGACGATCTCTGACACTTTCTGTTCGGACAGCCGCCGTAGCACGATGAAAACAGAAGACCTGCCCCAATGTCTTATCTAACTTTATCTCCATGCGCTGAATTTTGCTACATCTTATTCAGAGGCAGCACGATTTGGCCACTTGAGCTCTACAAAACAACTGGAAAACATTTTGATTATGCAAATCAAACGAGTTCTGAGCGATATCTCAAATAAAAGGGTATGTCTTTAACTAAATCTTTGGTGGGGGTAAGCTTTTTGGGCAGCCATAAGCTCACTCAGTATGGTGTAAGTCCCTGGAAATCTGGACACTATTCAGGATCTAAATAGACCAACGCTTTTTTCGTTCATTCTTACTTGATGCCGCACCTTTTGTGAAAAAATGCACATGTGACAGCCTTTTGGTATCATTGGTGGGTACACATCCATATAATGTGACAACACAATGCCGTTCAGACTGAGAGAAACGTTACGATGCAAACGGCACCAGATGGACTTCTCCTCCACATTGTGTTAGTTGCGTTCACCATCCATAGGCATTACCGCAGAACACCGTCGAATGTAGACTATAGTGGGGCCAGTAGCGTTGTAGCGTTGAGTGTGGCAAGTAACATTGAGATGCATATATATATATATATATATATATATATATATATATATATATATATATATATATGATAACCATGCTATTCGTCGGTTTACCTCCATATTTGGGTATTTTTTCCATCTGTGAGCTCCGTGTAACCATCCCCACAAGTCTAACCATGCTAGGCTAGAACAGTAACTTTGATAACAACAAACGAACCGCTCAGAATTCCCCGGCATAAAATCCAAGCCGTCGCACTTTTAATACCCTTCCCTTGATCCGTTTCTGGCACATCTTTCACCCGACTTCGCAAAGTACGTGCATTTGTCGTGGAATAGTGGCCGGCAGTAGGCTTGCAGCTCCATTTGAGATGACATACCAGGATTTCAGCTCCGAAACAAGAGTTGGTTCGGCATGCCATTACATTCCTTCCTCTTCATCTTCACCTGGACATCATAATTCTTAAAAAAAAAACACAGTTGCTGGATGTTCAAAACCAACAGGGCAAAACTGGTGCTCAGCCCGCTCGCAGCAAAGTGATGTTCCATAAGTGGCAGTCGCTCAAAAAGGTCTTGGGTCACTGTTTGACCGCTTGCCCAAGCTTCCAAGAGTGTTATGTGGAAACGCGAGGACAGACGGCGACACAAGAAACGTTATCTGACGCACCGGCTGGGCGGAAAGACGTGGAGGCCAGTTTTGAACCGATTGGCTGCGCATTACCCGCGCTCCGCACATCCCACGTACGCAATGAGTAATGGGAATTCTGTAGAGGCTGAGCCTATCCCTCTCAAGTGGCATGAAACAAATGCCCGCTTATGGTGAACGCAGAGATATTTTGAAATAAAATGAACGGGGCCGGCACGTAACATTGCCATCAAAATGCCATACTTTTCCTTTTATGGATGATTGTCTAAAACTCTGCCCTCATTTCACATCATGAGTAATGTCGACATTTAGCAGACAAAAAAAAGCTCAGGTGCGCTCTAAAGCTCATATTTGTCTTCAGCTGTAAGCAGCCATGGCCTTCCCAGGCTTGCGATGGCTGACTTTGTTGAAATAGCCGCCATCGGGTCCGGCTGAGCTAAGCAAACCCACAGGAAACTTGGCGCGCGTTGGGTATCAATGGTGTCCTGGGAGGCAGCTGACTTCACATGCCCCCAAAACGTTGCCACCGAAATGCCTCGTCATCGGTTTGCCCGTAAGTGCAGACAGATCAGCGGATCGTCCTAAAGGGAACCTACGTCACGGGCACCCCTGCAAGGGTGACTTGGGCGAGGCCGTACCGGGTCAGTTCGCGGAAGTGCATAAGACACATAACTCTTCAGAGGCTCTGCCACAGCCGGATGGGGCGGCATGGTGCTCCATTTCAAGGGCGAGACTCCGCCCGTCCAGACGGACGACGCCAGCGGACGGGGAGGCGGCGTTCAGTGCGCCTGCACGACTTTGCACAATGCTCGGAAACGCACGACGTGACAGTTCTCGGCGGGCCACTTTTGCAGGCGTGCGAAGGGCATCGCAGATTGGCTCAGCGTCAGCGACTTCGTCGGAAGCTTTGACGTCATACGCTCGGCAGGCAAGGTCGCACACATGGCCCTTCATCGTCACATGCCCAGATTGTTTGAGAGGAAAAATACCTCTTTGCGGCGAAGTGCTCGCGTGTTATTAGTCACGGGCACCAGGTTCGGGTATGCAGCATAGTTACACCAATTAATGCCGTGGTTAGCGAGGTTACTCCTTTCCACGTGCCAATGCTTAGTGCCTGACCAGCAACTCCGAGGACGTCAATTAAGTCAGATCGCGACTGCCAGGCGCTGGAATGCGTGCGAGAGCCGGGGACACCTGTGTCTTAGCCTCTCGTGCACTTACGCACCGGTCGGGCGTTGCATCACATCAGTGACCTTTTCACGTGCACACCATCTTGGTTGGGTGGCACGCCCACCGGCTGCGTCGTATCCAATCAAAATGGGATCAAAAGCGTCGGTGACCACACGGAGTAACAACAGGAAAAGTTCGGATAGATTCCAGGAGCCCTTAATGACGCATGTGTTGTAGCGCCCACATAGCGTGATACCGAATCCCGGCAATCCACTTGCACACGCGCGTTAGTCAGTTGTTCTAAGGTGCATGGCGCAGTGCACCTATAGCGCCGAAAGTTCATATTTGGCGCCCATGATCCGGAATGTTGCCTCATTTCCACGCGCCCGCACTCCCATCCGCAAAGGCGCACTCTATGCTCGCGCGCCCGGTCAGGCTCTGGTTAGAGCCTTCGTGAGCGTTAACGTCGCCGTCGCCGCGAACGGCGACCGCGTAAAGGCTGGCGAGCCACGGGGACTTTGATGACGCAGGCCATGCTAACACCTCAACGCGGTGGCGGCGGCCGCTCATTGTGATTGCTGGTTGTTTGTTTTTGCATTCGTGGTGTTATTGACTGTGGGGAAGCAGAACGAACACGACATTAATTTCAGTTTCATGCATATACGCGAATGTGTGACCTTAACCTTGCGTGGTTATATTCAATCGTGCGGTGGACGCGCAGTGAAGCAGCATCGCGAAACACATGCAATTGCACACTCATTTAGAAGTCACCGCAAATGCCGATCACCTCAGGCCGTAGCCGTGATTATATGGTTATAACGTGTTTTAATAAGCGTGATGATTATACACATAAAACACCGCACATTCTTAGATTATTCCGGAAGGCCTCGAAAAAATCCTGGTATAGTGGCTTTGGCGTGCCCGTAAGACCGTGTGCACGTTATTGTTTATGTAAGAGATTGACCAGAGTATTGAGACACCGCTTTTACAAATGTTGCATATCCATTTCCAGCAAAGCATCCTAAGGCAACAGTAGTTCCAACATCTAAAGAACAGAACTATACGTTACATTGTGGAACTTCGATACATAATGCTGATCTGGCGAGTTTGACCAGCAAGCTATCTACGCGCTAAAATGTCGTTTGCTAATTCAGGATGTAATGCCTTTTCGATCGCCATCTGCATATTACGTTGTCTGGAATGCATGTGTCGCCATATTGATTCTATAGTCCGTTCTAATGCTGCGATAAGCTTAAGCTTGCCTAATGTTCGGCGTAGCCGTATATATCCTTGGGAGCCTCTGCCTGCATCTGAGCAGGAGAACATTCAAACGTGTTTCGATTCAGAAGGCTACATCGCGTATTCCCCACAAAAACATAATCCCCCATGTGCCATCCAGTCCCAGGTGCAGGATAATTTGAAAGGGAAATTAACAGTCCGTCCATGAAGCCATGGAGATCTAATCTAGTCGTAAATCTCAACCACTCGGAACTTATATACGTCTCAGGTGGGTGGTCCTTCCCCTCCCTCCCCCTCAAACCCTTATGTGACTTGTGTGAAATCCGCTGCTGACAGGGGTTGACGCATGGTCCGTGTCGGGGACGAGGAGAGGACATGCAGCCGGCTCGTTCTGTCCTTCCCGCTGACTGTCGTAAAGGGGCGTTCTGCTCCATAGCCAAACACGGCAGTGTTCAACATTGAGGTTGAGGTCAGGTCACGAGGTCATGTCGGTCTGCGATGGCCAATCGCCCGGCTTGCGCTGTCCTCTTACGTGGTACTGGCAACCGTGCTGCTTTGTATGCGGTAAGGAATAACAGTTTTCCATCACAGGTATTCTTGTTTAACTTTCCGATTGCATAGCTTTAGTCAATGGCATTTTTCACAATTTCTCAGTTTCTTAAAGAACAGAGCCTAAGAGCCCAACACAACATCAGCATCAAACCCAACAACGATCAAGAACAATAGTTAAAGAGACACTTACGGATGACAAAACGGTTGCGACCATTGCGTCACATTTGTATCGATCAGTTTGGGTCGGTCGGCTTCTGTTAATCAGTATCATGATGTCTCAGCACGCTTGGACTACCAAAGCGTTAAGCTCTCCATTCAGGCCCACGCACCTCAGCAGACGGCAGACCGCTCCCGCAGATGTTGCAGTACAACGCCGCCCCTCTCCTCCCGCTCGGGCTACGCCGGTTCGCCTCGATCCTTCCCCTACACAGGGGGTGTCCGACGGTTAGGGTATCTCTTCAGCTGTCATCACGCCAGTCATGTTCGGCTTCAAGGCTGGGAGTGGGGTGACCCGCGGTAATTA